GTTCTACCTTCTTGTGTTCTTGCTGCAGCCATTTTAGGTTTAACTAGAATTTGATCTCCTTGATGGAGAATCCCAAGGGAATTTATTCAACTCTATTCTAGGAACTTGAGGTAAAGATGCCCCAGCTAACTTACCTGGCTTCTGATAAACTGCCTGCTTGTGCAAACCTCCACCTCTAGCTAACTGCTTATCATAGCTTCTGTTAAACTGCTTGCTAAAGCAAAACCTCTCCCTGCAGTTGCTGCCGCTGAGCAAGATACCATGATAGAGTTTGCCTTTAAAAGTTCCTTGCTCTAAATACTCAGAGGTACGCTTAAGTCCTGAATATCTGTGTATATTCCCAGCAGGTTGGAATGAAGACTTTCAATTGGCTATAATCTGTGTTTCCGTGGACATCTCTGGTTGACTTTCCATAACAATATGTTTTTCCAAAGAAATGTATTAAAATTTCACCTTCTCTCTCCTTCTTCCTCCCTCCCTTCCTCCATTCTTCTTTCTTTTTCTCCCTCCATCCTTCCCTCACTCTTTTCCTCCATCTCTTCTCCCTATTCCTTCACCCCCCCCTTTTGTATTTTTTCTGGCTCTCTACCAAAAGATGTTGGAAAGAGCCAAAGCCACTATTTTGTACTGACAGTAAAATTTTATGCTCAAAGAAATAAATCAGTACATTTTGTCAGAGATGAGACACAATGTGAAATGTTATCAAGCAACATTTGGGTCTTTTAAACTTTTCTGCTTGATTTAACAATCAATTCTTCAAATTTTGACACAAAGCTAAGCCACGAGACTGGCTGTAAATAATAAGACTTTGAAAAGCCATGGGAACAATTGTATCTGCATATTTTTTACTCTCTCCGGTGATTTCCTGTGTGAGTGACAGATACACCATGGGGGAGCCACACATATTCACAAATTAAGGAATGGAATCTCTACTGGCCTTGTCAGGACTTTCCCATGAGATGCCAGTCTAACTAAATTCCAAATGCCATAGAGTGTGTTCATATTCTGGGAGCATGCGTGTCGATTTCTTTCTCTTTAGGAAACCAAGGTATCAATTCAACATTTGTATTTCAGTTTTAAATGAATGAATTATCCTTTTTTTTTTCTAAATTCCATCCTCTGCTAGGGTGTGGGCACACTGTTTATTTCTTACTTTCATTAAGATGAAGGGCCACACCAGACACTATCACATGGGTAAAATGAAGCAATTGAGAAGATGGTTAAGAAAATAAACTAGGCATTCCCTCTGTGGACAAACAAATATTTACAGATATTTATAAATATTCACAGATGTTCAAGGCAGAGAGAGGCAGATGCCACTGAGGTTCACTCTCATAGACCATCCTGTAGTGACTGAACTTGACAAGAAGAGAACATACCAAAATTGAAGTGGGTATCACTTCAAAGCTTCAATGTTTGTGACCAGAATTTTTTTATAGTAATTTAATTTTGTTTCATAACAAAATTATGTTTCATATTTTGTAAGATTTATAAATTACAGATTTCTCAAGAAATTTCTTCAAATGTATTTTTCAGAGGGAAAATTCAGGATATTGTCATTATATTACATTAATATATTTGTCCCACCTTTGCTTTAGGAGAAATTTAATTTCTACTGCCATTTAGGCTTGGCACATGAAGTAACTGATGCTATAAAAAATGTTTAAAATTTTTGATTTAGTATTAAACCTAGGTATATGTTTACAGGGAGGAACCTGCGACTCATGGGCGGTAAACATCATGCAGACAAGGGTAATGAGAAAAACACCCATACAAAAACACAACCTGCCATAAAGCATAAAGTTGTTTTTGTGTTTTGTGTGTGTGAAATCTAAAAAAAAAAATCATTATATGGTTGTTAAAGCTTGAACTTTGTAGATAACAGTTTTGTGTTTCAATGTCAAAAGGTTGCACATGTGATGAAGGCTTATCTAGAAAACTGCACACATGTGAACGTTGACTTAAGTTTCACCCCCAAAAATCCATGTGAAAAAGCTGGATAAGAGAGCTCGGGAAATGGCTTTGGGAATAAAGGGTTTACTGTGTACTCCTGATCCTAGAACCCATGTGAGAAACATGTGGGCATGGTAGCCACAGTAGTCTTAACAATCAAGAGACAGAGACAAAAGATCTGTAATGTAAACTGGCTAGTATAGCCAGAACTGATGAACTCCAAGTTTACTGAGTGAAAAAATATAAAGAGGAAAGTGATTGGGGAAGACACGTGATATGAACTTTGGGTTCTCACATGTACATATACGTCTGGATCTGGACGTGGACCCACACACATCCACCAATACACATAAACACATACAAACATACACACACAATGATAAGGCTTCAGTAAACACAAAACTGGCTGCAGTAGTGCTTGCCTAGAATCTCAGCACCAGGGAGGTAGACAGGAGACTCTCCAGTCTATTTGAATCAGTAAGATCCAGGTCTAGTGGGAGACCTGATCTCAAAATAGGGTAGAGGGACACAGAAAACATTATCAATGTCAGCCTCTGGCTTCTGTTTATAAGTATATACCACTTCAAGATTTGGACATGTTAGGCAGCATATGCTTTGGGAACATATTTTTTATTTCATATATGTTGTTATTTGATATACATAAAGTATAGGAGTTTTAAATTTCTGTTATTAACATTTTTGTGATGTTTTCCAATGTCCATTAGAAATACCAGATATATAAAGACCAGTTTTCATATGAATCTTCTCTCAACCAAATAAATCAATAGGAAGATGTCAAATCAAAGAATCCGTAATGTGGGCACACAGCATTGTTACAAGAATAGCATCAGGCTTCTATTTCATCTACACCTAGAAATGTTCACCTAGAACTAGAACAGCAGAATTTGCTGAGGAGAGCACAGGTTGGATCAGAGAACAGAGCCATAAAAGCCATGTAAGGAAAGAGGAGGCACTAATCTTGGAATTATGAACTGTACTCTGAAGAGTACCCTTGCAGATGAGTGTGCACACTGGAGAAGAAATAGGAAGTGTGAGGTGAAAATGGCCCGATGGCTAGTTATGTAAGATCCCAGATCCCAAACCACTAGTATGGTCAAGGAGACTAGCATTAGACTCCTTGTCAGCAACACTTAATGGAAGAAAAGTATGGAGAGTCTGTTGGAGTCACAGGCCAATGCAAATGCAAGATAATATACAATTTTGTTATTATCTACCAATGCTGGCCTTCAAGCATTGAGGCTATAGAAGAACCCTGTTTTTATTTGTCACTTCTCTACTGCTATGGTGAAAAACCATGACCAAGACAACTTATAGAAGGAATAGTTTATTCAGGCTCATGGTTCTCAAGGGATAAGAGTTTGCCATGGTGGAGAAGAAACAGACATGGCAGCTGGAGTAGCAAGCTTAAATCTTAATAAACCACAGGTACAAAGCAGAGACATTAACCTAGAAATGACCTGAGATTTTAAACTCTAAAGCTCACCCTCCATGACTTACATAATCCAGTGTATCCATACCCCTAAGTTTACCCAAATACTATTACCAACTGGGGACTAAGTATTCACATGCCTGAGACTAGGGTGGACAGTTTCCATTCAAACCACTACCCTGTTGAATAAGAAAGTGTTCTAAAACACTTTGCAAGAATTAGTTTAATTTAGTATGTTATGTTGGAGAAACTGAGGAGATCTGTGTGAATACTGATTCTGTTTTATTAGAAATTTAAAACAAAAGTGAACAATATAAAAATGCTCCAAAAATGATAGACTGGACAATGACATCAAAAAAGGTGCAGGGGTTGGGGAAGAAAAATCATAAGACAGACTAAGTTTGTTGACAAGATATAAAAATCTAATTATACAATCCAAACTAAAAAGTCAAGTAGCATACTATTAATGATATTTAACAACACAATGACAAGTTCAAAGTAATATATTATTGACTAAATTTGTATGGTGGGAAGGTCAGAAAAAGACCTTTGAGCTAATTTTCTTCTCCCTCAACGTAAGGAATCAAAATTCACTGTATGATGAGGATGAATGAAGGACCTAATCTATAAAGTCAACAAATTGTATAATTGCAAATAAATGGCATCTCGTAAACTATTAGAAAAGTAGTTATGTTGCCACATATAAGAAGAAAGACATGCAGACTGAAACAGCCAAACACTAACACAATTAGATGGAATAGATCAACACGGAATGCTATCACTGTGAAAAAACAATCAATTTTGTCAATAAACATGCATTTCCACTGGAACTGTAATCAAATAAAAGGGAAGCACAACTTCTTAGTGAGCATCAAGAAACAAGTGCCAAATGGATGGAATGACACAACCAAAACAAATCTTAAATGTAGTTTAAAATGTGGCAACAGAAGAGAAAAAGATTCATGTGTCATAGATTAAGGGACAGGAGACTGAGTTGAAAAAAATCAGTAAAGGAAGTGAACCGAATATCCTCTAACAATGTGAACTGCTTTATTTTACCAATATAAAGTTATTTATATAAAGCATCTTTTATGAGTTTATTGGCCCATTATTTTAAGTTAACTGAAATAAAATTATTTTTAATTTATAAGCTAAAAGCTTATTAAGCATTACAATTTTTTTGTTTACCTCATGTGAAGTATTATTACTAATACCTAATATTTGAAAACAGCCTAAGTGATTTTCATTGTTCAGTAAAGTATTAGTGGACTATTAATTGGTGACTAGCGTGGTGGAGTACACCTTGAATCTCAGTACTGTGGAAGCAGATGCAGTCAGTTTGGGGCCAACCTAGCCTACATACTAAGTTCAGAGGCCATTTAAAAATACATAGTATGACCCTGTCCAGAAGAAAAAAAAAACAAAGGCATTAGCATCATGGAATACCTGAGATACATGTCAAAAATTCTGTAGGGTAGCATCGGCTATGGCTATCTGAAATAAAGTAGCAATATTTTCTATGTGGGAACTGACTCATGCAAATGCCTACAGCAGCCGCAGAGTATTCGCACTTTATGGACATGGGCCTTGTACTTACGGTTTACAGATTTGACTGGTAAGATTGGGTTTACCCTCTCTGGGGAGGCAGCACTGTCTTCATCTGTCACATACTCAAAATTAATGATGAACATCATAGCCACACCCTCTTGGTTCTTCACTGGGATTATGTGAGTGTTACAAATGAAAGTGGAGCCTAAGGGGAGGAAAAAAAAAACGATTGTTAGATCAAACATATACCTTCTCTGTGAATTATCAGTAATAACACAATTGAAATGTATTCCTATAAAAACTTGTCTTAAATGACCATGGACAATCAATAAAATAATTTAATTTTCCCATAATTTATTGCATATGTATTTACTTTATAGATACACATGAAAAGTTTAGAGTGTAATTTAGTTACTATATTGTGGAAAAACACAGTATCAAATCCTATCAGCTCTTACCAATAACTTTAACAACTAGTATAGAAAAGTATTTTTAAGATTCTAGAAAACACATTCATTCATGCCCTACATATTTGTATTAAGTCTATGTCTATGAGAAATATACTTGTATAAAGAGTGAAGAGATATTCCTTTTATATCACCATGATTTTGAAATTAAAATTATATCTTTTTTCTTAGTTTCCTAGACCCAATCAATTACTATACATCTTAGATGTGCTGCAATAAATGAGAAAAATGCAAGCATCCAAATGACAATATTTTATTTGGTTTTAATTGTTTAGAACATAGGAAATTATCTATATTATTGTATTATTGTTTTCTGTATTGCCATTAGTTACCTCTGTGAATCCATCAACACAATATTTGCCATTCATGATCTATGAAATACAGTTGAGAAGCTGAGTTTCTTTAAAGAACTTGCCTTCTGTCTGATTTCTTGGTACTGACAACTAGTAATCCTCAAACAGTTCCTTTCTGGTGTGGGAGGTCTTTCTGTCTATGTGTTGCTTTTGTTGGTTAATGAATAAAGAACTGCTTTAAGCCTATGACAGGGAAGAACTGAACTAGGCTGTATGCTGGGAGAAAGAAGGGCAGAGTCAGAGAGAAGCCATGGAGCCACCGCCAGATACAGACCATGCTAAAACTTTGCCTGTAAGCCACTGCCATGTGGTGATACACAGATTAATAGAAATTGGTTAAATTAATATGTAAGAGTTAGCCAATAAGAAGCCAGAGCTAATGGGTCAAGCAGTGATTTAGTTAATACAATTTCTGTGTGATTATTTTGGGGTTGAGCAGCCAGGAACCAACAAGCGGCCTCCTTGCTATACCCTTCAATCCCTATCTTCTGAGGATTTGTTCTACTCAGTAAAAGTGAGATTAAACTTTAGAACTATGCATTTGTTTCAGCCAAATGTAAATGCAAAATCTTCAGAAAGCAATCTTGATCTCTCAGATAGTAACGTATATTATGATTATTCTTGCTTTTTTAAATATTAACCCAAGAATTATGTTTCAGTGATAAAATAGGGAGGGGTGTATGAAGGCAAGGTGATGAGAGATTTTGATGAATTGTGAGAAAATGATAGCCATCTGGAAAGAAGGGACAAAGGTGCTGGCAGATAGCAGAAGGTTTGAACCAAGAACCCCAGCATCTTCAAGAACCACAGAATTGCTGACATTCTGAAGAGGCATTCCAAATTCTGTTGCAAGCAAAACCAGGAGTGAATAAAGCCATTTCCTTCCTACAGAGTCCCGTATCATGGCTCATACTATCAGATTTGAGAATGGAAGCTGCTTCTGATACCGCTGTAGGTGGAGGATGCAGAGCTTTGAGGAATGTGCGGCCAGACAGGTATTTGTCATGTGGTAAATTGTTTCAGTGGGCTCTAATTTCTACAGAACAGAGTTACAAGTACCCATTTAGAGCACTTACTCTTTGTATCTTAGAGATACCAAAGTCTTAGTTACAATTTAGATTTATAAATACTGATATCCTTCCATATTTGAACTGGAATAGACCCTAACAAAATATCAAATGGAAGAGACCCTAAGAAAATGTCAAATATAGATCAGTAGCCCACACTGCACAGATGCTAAAAAACAAAACCATGCTTTAAGAATGATTTGTTGCAATCCAGCCTTCAGCTGTATCTTCAATTCATCTAATAAAATAGTTAGCTAGAGCTCTTGTCAAGTTTCCATGGTAACAAACAGGCCAACTTTAGTAAACACAAAATAAGCAATTTAAGAGTGCTCCATTAGAACTAAATATAGACGTGCCATGGGCCAGGCATCACAATGCAAACTGGTTAAACAGAATCTGAAGAGACGTGAGAAACAGCCATCATGCACTTTCCTAACGAGTCAAAATACATATCGATTTTACCACTTAAAATGGCATTTCCTACACCATTTAGAATATAATTGTGAATTCACAGATTTGTTATTCAGCAGTTTGAAATCTTTCAACATTCGAGGTATACTGCTGATTGTGAAGCAGAAACATAAACTAGGTCTATGAGAAAAATCAATAAATAAAAGATGCAAGGATGAGGATCTAATAGGCTTGTAATAGAACAGAGCTGTTTTGTATTGACTAATAAAAGGAAAACCATGCCCTTCCATACAAATGCTTGAAATTTACTGATGAGTACTGAAAAGCACATAATCACTGTGTTCCAGGAAAACAGTTCAATGCCTGTATATCAGCTCCACATCTCATTGCATATGTATAATTAATATGAGATTTATTGCTTACCACTATTGCTTCCTACATGCTTCCATTAAATAATATATCCTTTCTACAGTCAACTGAAGACTCACACTTACATGCTTTCCAGTTTTAGTTTGGGGAGTTGACATATCCATCAATCTTGTGTAGCCTCTGGAAGGCACACAGTGAAAGGGGAGACACAGAATACCGAGGAGGAGCATATATGGAATGCGTTTTAGCTTGCATAATCCTGCAACCTCCAAGCACTGTTGAGTTACTGCTTCTGTAAAGCAACATACCTGTCAGAGTCATCATTCTGTGATTGTTAATATTTTCCCCCCAAATGAAGTGGTAGAAGCAAAAGGAACAGAAATATAATCTGTGAAGCACTACTTTAACAATGAAGAAAAGAAAGACTCATTCAATGATATTTAAATAGCATTAAATCAAGAAAGAGTTTAAACCTTGTTAAAGTGCATCATGTATTCAAATGAAATTAATAGTGTTTGTTAAGAGGCAGAATATTTACAATAACATTATCCATTATTTATACAGTTACGCATGCAATTATGCTGGTTAGACTTTGGTTCATTTCCATATTTTTGTTTCCTGCGTGAAAACCTTTCCAAAGTGGAAAAGGCTATTTGTCAGAAATCGTGTTATTTTAATAATTTTTTCAGAATTTAAAACTTTTAAACTCTTGGTATTAGTCAAGAAAAGTACAGTCCTTTGAATAATACAACAATTACCTCTTTATTCATAAGCCAGTGGCTTATACTCAGCTGTATTATGAAATGCAATGAAAGGACATGATTTTTCTGCACAAACTTCTTTGAAAGTATTTTTTTTTTTTGTCTGTAATGTGTACTCACAGGGCATTTTGTACATACAAGTAACATCAGGGAAGCCCGAGTAACTATACCAACATGGTGACTACAAAGTCTGGGGTGTGGAGGGTAGGTCAAGGGAGATACAAAATGGCACACCAACTGAGAACTTCTCTCTGCTGGAAAAGTGCTGGGGCATTTCATGCACAGATTGCTTCATTTGATTTAAAACTATCATTCTCATGTGCATGCAAGCAATAGCTTGCTGAGCAGGCTAGGATGGGAGCAAAGAAAGCACTGTGGAAAACATGGTCAGAAAACTGGCGTGAGTATAATAGTTCATACCAGGGTCGTGTAGGTGAAAGTTCTTAGGTGGAGTTCAACATGTGTTGAGCTAGAAGAATGACTTACTATTTCTTAAACTGAAACAGGGTGAGGCAAGAAGTGGTCTTGAAGATGTTGTATATCCATAGGTGTTTGAATATGGTAACTCTGAAATTGCTTGGATATCTAAGTGGAGAAGATAAACGCAAGGCACAGCAGTAAAGTTGGGTTTAGGTATTAGTCTAAACCAGAGTTATGAATTTGGAAGTCATTGGGGGTAGATAGGTATAGAGAAAGTTTGTAGCCCTTTTCCAGAGGCACTTCAGAGTCAGAGGAGAGATGAGCGTGACCCCATAATGATCATGAAGGAACACACAGTGAAGTGGGAGTGGAATCTAGACTGTGGGCCATCAGGGCTTCAGAGCCAACATTAATCCCTCTTGCTAATAGGCATCATGAGACATTAGCAAACATGCAATTCTTTAAGAAATATTTCATAGAACTGTGGCCATGAAGCTGTTTGGATGCATTCAAGAATGAATAAACTGCATGAATTACATCTGACAACAGAAGATTCTTTCGAACTGTTCTACTAATGGATGAACTCCACACAGTTCTAGCACAGGTCTGTAGCTAGAAAAGATATTAAATCTATATTTTCTTGCTAGAAAAAAAATGTTGTATGTTTCTACATTTCTACAAAGTACATTGAATTGTTTTAAAATAATGCTATCCAAATTTGTTCACATTAGGCTATTTAAAGTTACTTAAACTCAAGAAAGGTCTAATTCTATTTTGAGGTATTTTTTTCTTATTTTTGCCTTGTTCAGTGTTTACTGATTTCCTCTGCACATGGCACCTACACAAAACATGGCAGCTCCTCTTGTTGGAGAGTGCTTGCTTTGCAGCTGGAATGTGTGTCTCTGAGACCCTGTCCCATTCTTTTATTTTCCGAGCAACCTGCTAGCTCTACTAAATGGCTCAGCTCAGTTCATACTTTCCTTATCTGAATCCTGTAAATAATTATTATTTTTGTCTATCCTCGTTCTTGGAATTAAATGAATGAATATCTGTGCAGCCAGGGATTAGGATAGAATTCTTTATACCATGCTAACATGATGTTCTAATAGGTCAAGTCTATTCTCATTTGGTTTCTGTTGCTGTGATAAACAGCATGACCAAAAACAACTTGGGAAGAAGAGATTTTATTTTAGCTTACACTTGCATGTCACAGTCCATCACAGAGGGGAGCCAGGGAATAATTCAAGCAGGAACATGAAGCAGGGACCGAATAAAGAGGAGTCCCTAGCAGAATGCTGTTTACTGGCTTGCTTCCAGAATCATTTTCAGCTACCTCCTTACATCACACAGCACATGC